ATATATATATATATATGTTAAAACACACTGAAATATAAAAAGAGTGTATTAGAGAATTAAAATAATAGTTAAATAATCGATACAAGTGTAATTATTGTTAAAAAGCTCCGAGTATATGTTCTGTCAACCGTCTTCCTCGAAATTCGCCGTTGAACTGAGTCATTGTCCTCTATCAAATTATTTTTATTAAATGTTGTTTATATGACTTTCTGAACGTTGCGCATGTGTATAAAAAGAATAATACATTTAATTAATAGAATTTAAGATTAAAATGTTTGGATTTTAGTATTTTTATCTATTTTATGTAATTATTCTAACGCTCCTGCGCAGTGATAAYTTCGAGGGTAAAATTTTCATCTAATGAAACATAAGATCAAAATTAATTAATATTTAAAGTACGGTAAAAGAGATATATAGTATTTAAAACGATGTATATATGTATAAATAATTATAAGTATTAGTAGAGAACAAGACTGTATTCTGTGTATCTTAATTAATTGTTAATTAATCGAAAAAAATGTGTATTGTAATTTAGAAGCACTGAGTATATGTTTTGTCAACCGTCTTCCTCGAAATTCTCCTTGAGACTGGCACTTTCTCTTCTATGAAAATTCTTTTATTAAAAGTTGTTTATATGACTTTCCGAACGTTGCGCATGTGTGCAACGAGAATTTTATTTGTAATAAAGAGAAATTAAGATGTAATCGCTTTGATTTTAGCATTTTTATTATTTTTATGTAATTTTTKAACCGAAGGTATATTTGTTTTAATGTTCYTGSGCAGTGATGATTTTMAGGAGGTGGGATAAAATTTTCATCTAATAAAACATAAAATCGCATTATAATTAATATTCAAAGTACGTCAAAAGTATGTAATGTTTAAATAAATGTATATGCGTTTAAACAATCTTAAATATAATGAGAGTGCACTAGAATATTAAAATAACTGTAAAATAATTAATAGAAGTGTCTATTGTTGCTTAAAAGCTAGGTGTATACGATCCATGTACCGTTCTCTTCGAGATGCACCTTGAGACTAGCACTTTCTCTTCTATGAAAATTCTTTTATTAAAAGTTGTTTATATGAATTTCCGAACGTTGCGCATGTGTATAAAGGGAAAAATTCATCTAATCAATAAAATTTAAGATTCCAACGCTCTTATTTTACTATTTTTACATTTTTATGTAATTGTTTAAACTAATGTACATTTGTTGTAACGTTCCTGCATCGTGGTGACTTTGGAGGGGGAAATTTTCATCGAAAAGAGTATCATATCGAAATCATTTAATATTTAAAAAATGTTAATAAGTATGTAATGCTTATACTAGTACATATATGTTTAAACAATGTGAAATATAAAGAGAGTGTATTAAAGTATTACAAAAATTGTTAAATAATTAATTGAAATGTATATTGTAATGTAAAATTGAGGATGTACCTGCTGATGTACCTTCCTCTTCGAAATCTTCTGTTAGACTGAGACGTTGTCACAGAAAAAAGCTTTTTATATCGAAAGTTGTTTATATGGCTTTCTGAAAGTTGCGCATGAGTATAAAACGAAAATATTCATTGGATTAAATAGAAATTAAGATTATAACGTTCAGATTTTACATTTTTTTAATTTTCATGTAATTGTTTAAATAAATGTAAATTTGTTTTAATGTTCCGGCGCAGTGGTGACTTCGGAGGGGGAAATTTTCATCGAAAAAAATATCACATCGAAATCATTTAATATTTAAAGTATGTTACTAAGTATGTAATGAAAAGTATAAGTATGTAAATGGAAATGTATATTGTAACGTAAAAATGAGGATGTTCTAATTTCG